GGACATCAATGACAACGCTCCGGTGTTTAGCGAGGCTGCTCTCGATGTAGAGATCGGAGAATGGATCCTTCCTGGTGCGCGATTTCCGTTGGAGATGGCGCAAGATCCGGATGTGGGAAGCAACGCACTGCTCAGCTACCAGCTCACCGAAAACCCGTCCTTCAGGCTGGAGGTAAAGGAGACTTCAAGTGGCAAGAAGCAGCCCGAATTGGTGTTAGAAAGAGCTTTGGATCGCGAGAAGCAGAGCTCGTTTCAGATGGTGCTGACGGCGGTGGACGGCGGGTCTCCAGCGAGGTCAGGCACTGTCCAGATTCGCATCAACGTGACAGACGCCAACGACAACGCGCCCGTGTTCAGCAAAAGCGCCTACGAGGCGCGAGTGCGGGAGAATGTGCCGACGGGCTCGCTGGTGCTGCAGGTGCGAGCCACGGACGCGGATGCGGGCTCCAACGGGCGAGTGTCGTACTCCTTCAGCAACGTTCCCGACGCTGTCCGCGCTGTCTTCAGCATAGACAGCGACAGCGGCGACATCCGCAACGTGGGGATTCTGGATTTCGAGGAGCGGAAGGAATACACCTTCGGAGTAGTGGCGAGGGATGGGGGCGGTCTAAGTGGTCACAGCCAGGTGCACATAAAGATCATGGACGAGAACGACAACGCGCCCGAGATAACGACGTTGTCTGTGTCGAGCTCGATCCCCGAGGACTCCCCGCCCGGCACCGTGGTTGCCCTCATCAAGGTGCGAGACCGAGACTCAGACGACAACGGGAAGGTGTGGTGCGAGCTGGAGGGCGAGTCGCCGCTGTCGATCGTGGCGTCGTCGGGCAGCTCGTACAAGGTGGTGACGGCGAGCGCGCTGGACAGGGAGCGCGCGTCCGAGCACAACGTGACGGTGGTGGCCAGCGACCGGGGCAGCCCGTCGCTGTCGAGCCGCACGGCGCTGTCGCTGTCCGTGTCGGACGTGAACGACAACGCGCCGGTGTTCGAGGAAGCCGCCTACAGCGCCTACGTGTCGGAGAACAACTTGGCGGGCGCGGCGGTGCTGCGCGTGCGGGCGCGCGACGCGGACGCGGGCGCCAACGGGCGCGTGAGCTACTGGCTGGTGGGCGGCAGCGCGGGCGAGGCGGCGGCAGCGGCGGGGGCCTCCGGGTGGGGGGGGGGGGGGGGGGGGC